CTGCTCCTCACCCCACCATGGAGGCTGCTGGGTACTTATCTGTCTTTCATGGGGGAGGACACTGAGGCCCAGAGGGGTCAAGTGCCTTGCCCACAGTCACACAGCTCCAAAATGGCAAAGGCCGGTGCAAACCGAGGCAGGGGGAGGGCAGAGCCCTTGCTTCTCGGAGCCTCAGGGTTCTCACCGTAAAAGGGTATGAGAACACCGGCAAGCGGTGGACAGGCGTGGTGAGGAGCCAGGGTGCATCATAGGAAGTCCCACACGTTATAGGGCTGCCGTGGGATCCAGTGAGGTCATGTCTCCATTGCAGTGGGGGCTCAAAAACGTCTCGGGTTTTTTTTTAATCAATAACTTTCGTGGGAAAACAATGTCAGAAAGGTTATTCAACAGGATGTTAAGAGATACACCTTCAAAAACAAACATTCATTTTGGGACTGCCCACATGGCGCCAGGTGCTGGGGCGGGGGATGGGGTTTCCGGTGGCTTTCACTTTCCTCCCTATAACTTCAGGTTTTCTCTGAATCGGAGAAGGCCGGCACGTGCCAGTTTAGTAATCAGAGAAAAGCAATAAACAGGTTTTTGTTAAAATACAGAAAAACAACTAAAACGGAAGCAACCACCACCCAGCCTCCCGGGAAAAATCTTTGCAAAACTGAGGCTGGGGGCGTGCGGGGTTGGGGCGGAGGGACCCCGAAATAAACGTCTCTGGAGGCCGCCGGGGTCTGCCACGCCCAGCCCCCTCCCGCGCTGCTACCTCGGGCGCCCCTCCTGCTGTCTGGTCCAGCCCCGCGGGGGGCGCTGGGAAACTCCCGCCGCCAGCATCTCGCTCCGCCCACACCCACCGCCTACTTCCAGCTTGAGTGGGCGGGCCTGAGTTGGGCCCACCTGATCCGCCAGACCCCCGCCCCTTCATGGCTCTTGGGACGAACACGTGGCGCAGTGTGTTAGTCTCCTCTCTCATCTTTCGGGGTCTTTTCCTCTCCCTCCACGCTGTGGCAGTTGAGAAAGGTACGTTGCACTAAAATGATCTAGCCCCACACTGTCCAATACTGTAAGCGCTAGTCACATGGTTTAAATTTAAATGTTAATTAAGTCGATACAATTTAAAAATCCTCAGTCACACTGGCCCACTGTATTGGCCGGCGTGAAGCCTTTCCATCATAGAGAAAAGTTCTGTCGGATAGCGCTGTTCTAGACATTGGTCTTGCTTTAAAATCCTGTCCTAAAATTGCTCTTTGAACCAACGTTTCTTTCTTTTTCTGATTCCCTTCCTGCAAATCTAAAGTACAGCTTTGATCCACACTTTGAGAACGTGGTGTAAGCCAGAGAGCACAGGGCCTGAGGGAGGCTCGGGCTATGGAGCTTCCCCGTGGGGATGAGCCGGCAGCAGAGGAGCCCTCAGAGGCTCACCAGGGAGGTTTGGAGGAAGCCAGAGCACTGGCCGGGCTGAGAGTTCTAGATACCTGGGCTGTGTGTACCTTCTCACTCTTGTCATCTGTGCCCCAGCCCGTCTGGAAGAAGCCCAAGGGATGATGGAGATGATGGTAACGGAGACTGTCTTCAGGACCACCCTACGATGCAGGCTTTATTATCCTTCCTGTTTTACAATTGAGAAAGCTAAGGATAAAGGGGACACAGAGAAGGGGTCTGGGGCTTCACGCCCCAAAGAGCCTTGGGATTCCTTGCCTAATTTGGAGGCTAGTGCCTGGGAGGCTGAGGACCAGATTTTCAGGAGATTTTAAAAAGTCCTTTTTGTCAAGAGGTTCCAAGACAGGCCCTGGCAGCCAGCCATTCCCCCATGGGAATCAGCTCACTCCTGGTGGGAGTCGATTCAGTCCTGAGTGAGAATATCAACAGTGAGGATTTCAACCACCCCAGCCACTGTTGGCAGGAGGAACCTTGGTCCTCCACTTCTGCAAGGTGGGAGGGAGCCCTACTGGAGGAACATTTCCAGTGGCTCCTCTCATTGGCTCCTGCTTATGGGTGGCTTAGGTTTGAGGATTGGGGAGATTGAAGAGAGACTGGTTTCTATTGGACCGTGTTTCTCAGTGGCTGGGGCTCATGTGCATTTAGGCCAAAATGTAAATTGCTCACTCCAGCCCCCATCCTGCCTGACCTTATTCCCCACCACTGTCCCTGGCTCACTGCACTGTAGTTGATCTTTCTGAACTGTGAACATGCCAAACTCCTCATGCCTCAGGGCCTTTGCACTTGCTCTAACCTCTGCCCAGAAAGCTCTTCCTCTGTCTGTCCTGCCTTCCTCCAGTCACTGAGGGCTCGGCTCAAATGTCACCTCCTTAAAGACCTCCCTGTTAGCTCCCCACTCTCAGACCCCTATTTTCTTCATAGCACCCTTCAGTGTCGACAACTTTTCCTTTGTCTTTTCTGCCTCTCTGCCTCCTCCTTCCTGTGATAAGCTGGAGAAGGGGGTTGGGAAAGCAAGAGCAGTGGCCTTTCTCCAGCTTCCCTGAACCTGGGAGCGTGGGTTTACATTGGGGCGAGAGGTGGGGGGTGTCTCTGCCTCCTCCTCCGTTCTAGCCTCCCAAAGCCCAGCCAGTGCTGTAACGTGAGCCTCGGCTGACAGCTGGGGTCTCTTGCTCCTAAGAGCCTGGGGACAGAACAGTGAGTCCAGCCTCAGTTCTGTGTTGGATTTCCGACCCACCCACCTCTCCACCACTCCCACAAACATATTTTCTCTGTTTGCTGCTTAACTTTAAAATGTGATTTTCTGAGATGCCCAGACAAAGTGGATTGGAGCTGACATTTAGTAGGTGCCGTGCTGTCCATGGTGGCTGGGAGACCTGGGTTCAAATCCTGGCTCCAGGACTTCCTAGCTGTGTGGTCCTAAGCTAAACCCCAACCTCTCTGGGCCTGCTTCCTCATCTGCACAATTGGGATAACAACTGAACCTGCCCACTAGAGCTTCGACATAGGGGATGTATAGCACTTAGCAGATTGCTTAGCCCTAGATAAATAGTTATTTTTATTTTAAATTATTATATTTTATTATAAAGAGCTCTTGAAGGAAAAAGTCCAGAGAGCTAGTTCGTACTCTGCCATTCACTGTGTGACCTTGGGCAAGTCCCTCTTCCTATCTAGCGCTGTTTCCCCATCTGAAAATCGTGTGGAGAGGGTGACCCCAGCAGTGAACGGGATAGATTTGGGCTCAGCACGAAGGAGGCACTTCTAGCAAACATCAGGCTGCATGTGAGGTAGTGAGCTCCCCATCACTTCTAGTGCACTGTGGAGAATGCAGAGCAGGGAGGAACCTCAAACAGCCACGCCCCTCATTTTGCAAGTGTGGCCGTCAGGGCAGCTACTCAGAGACCAGAGTGATCACAGACAAAGACCTTAAGGTCTCCTGCCTGCCTGTCTCAGGCCCACTCCATCACGCTGTCTGCCCGGATGTCGAGCACAGATCACCTATGGAGAGCCTGGCAATGGAGACACTGCCTGGGTTCAGCTACCAGCCTGCCACGAACTAGCTGCATGAAAACTAACTTGACGCTCGGCAAAGTGTAGCAGCTGCTGCCAGTGCCACAGCTGCATCTCCTTGATGCACCAAAGGCTGCTCCAACATCTCCAACTGCCAGTCTGAGGGCCTATTTCCTGGAGCAGCGGGAAGTGCTAGGGCATTAATGCCCCTGGAAGCAGCCCTCAGCCAGACAGAGGGGAGCTGGTGGACAGGCACCCTAGCACCCCACCTGTGCGGACACCTCCAGGCATGCGCTGTGCATGGTCCCAGAGCTCCTAGGGGGGTTGAGTGTCAGCTGTGCACGCCGGCACTCTGGTAACGCTCTTTACTGCCTCCCGCCCTTCCCTGCCTCCCTTCCCCGCTCCCAGGCAGGGTTTCCTGGGATCACCTCCCGAATCAACTAACTGCACTTGATTCCCTGTCTCAGGGGAACCCAGAGACAGCAAGTTCCTTAACCTCCTGGTCCTGCTTCCCTTGACGGGAGGTTTCCATGAGCTAGCAGAGATGAGGTGCCCGCAACAGAACCCAGCAGTGTGTTTGTTTAATAAATGGAAAAACAAAAGGAGAGAAAGAACCTTCATTCACACAAAACTCCACCCCCTCCCGTTCCACCCTCCTCAGCAAACACAAATACCAGGAGACAAAACAATCTTTGAGACGCACACAAACAAGTGTTCCTCGACCTGAGGTCTGGGCCAACGTGCCGGCGAAACGTGCTGGTCCGCTGTCTGGAATGCCCCGCTCAGCCGGGTCACGGGATGTGAGCCACGCTCTCTGGTCTCTGTGGCTGCCAGCAACGGTATCCCCGGGGGCACGGACCAGCCCCAAGGTAGCTGGGCAGGTTCACTCTGGGGATCCCATACCTAAAAGGAGCCCCCAGCCTTACAGTTGTGTGGGGACCTGACAGCAGATTGTCATGACGTGCTAATCACAATGTTTCGTGTCCTTCTCTGTTACCCCCACTTGGTTAAGCACCCCTGATCCTGCCCAGATCCTGCCTCCTAGGTGCAACCTAATGAAGCTCTGCTGAATGAATGGGCACCTCTGGGCAAATAGCCACCCTTCCGGGACCTCAGTTTCCCATCAGTTTCCCAAGGCCTCCTGAGTCCTTCCCCCGTTAGCGTGATCAGTTTCTAGGCTCAGTGTCTAATCCAGTGAGACGGCGGCAGCTAATCCTGGGATGGGGCCAGAAATGGGTACCAGAGTATAAGGTGGACAAAGTGCGCACTGGGCAGGGACGACAGGGACAGCACGTTGGAGAAGCTGTGGACCGATGAAGTGGCCAATGGCTCGTTCACAAGCCCAGGTGCCCAGGGACCTCCCGACCCCCACAGGCGCCTGCTGTGGGCGTGGCTGCCCAGCGCTCTCCACCCTGGCGGGAAGTGGTGAGCTCAGGCCAAGGTCGGGAGCAGGGGGGGTCAGGTCTCTGTAGCCCCAGATGGGACAGCCTCACAGCTTCATACCACGGTTCTCCGAGTCTTTCTCTGGCAGCCCGCTGCCTTCCAGGGGGAGGCGTTTCGCAGGCATGGGTAAGGCCCAGTCCTCACCTGCCGGCCTCAGCAACCAGAGGGCACGCACCTAGGAAGTGCTCATGCACGGGGGCCCTGTGGAGAGCAGGGCTGCCATTTTGGGGCTCTGGCTTGAGCTCTGAGCACTGCTGGGAGCAGGCTGGAAGAACAGTGAGGATTTATGCTCCTCTGAGACCCCCAAGGGTGCCAGGGAGGCCGGAGAAAGGCTGGCCTCCAGGGGAACCCCACCTGGCGGGGGGTCCAGGGCCCTCAGGGGGCTCACTGGCGGCGAGGACCTGTCTCCACAGCAGCAGCCACAGCAGGGGCTGGCCACGACGTGGGCCTCGCCACGCTCCTCCTGGCCGTGACACTGCTTTAGGTGGCCGCACAGGTGGCAGGTGAGGGCTGAGTAGACAATGCCACTGCCCAGGTCGTCCCCGAGGGAGTCTGTGGCCTGCTCCGGGGAGAGCGGGGGTTTCTGTCTGTCCTCCCCCTTCCCCACGGGCTCCAGACCAGGGCAGTCTGGGGAGCTGCTGGGGAGGCGTGAGTTCTGAGGGCTGGGAGGTGGCTCCACATCCAGTCCAAAGGTGAACAGGGGCATGGGGCCTGGGGCAGCGGCCCCAGGGCCACCAGGAGTGAGGCTCTGAAAGGGCCTGTAGCCCCCCTCCCCGCTGCTGGCCTCAACCCCAGACGCCCCTGGGCAGACGGCACCACCAGCCAGCAGGCCGGAGAAGGCCTTGTACCCAGCTTCTCGAGAAGGGCCGAAGCCCGCCGCCCCACCATCCTGGCCACTGCGCCGTTTCACCGCCTGCACAAACTCCCGATAGCCGCCGGTGGGGGCCGGGGTGGGGGCCGGGGCCACCCCGTGCTGGAGGACGCTCTGGCGGAGGATCTGCTCCCAGGTTTCCGGCTCAGGCTGGAGCGCAGGGGGTGGTTCAGAGGGCTGGGGGGGCGGGGGGGTGTTGGGGTCCACGTCCCCCAGGTGTTCGGCCAGCTGTGGCTGGGAGTCAAGCTCTCCAGGACCGGGGGACGGGCTCAGGAAGTTGCTGAAGCTACGGTAAGCGGGGTTGTCTGCCGTGGCAGCAGACGCCTCCATGGAAGCCAGGCCGGCTGGGCTCTGGGTCAGAGTCGCGGGAGGATTCGACTCCGGGTTAGAAGGCTGCTCCTTGCCCTGGGACGATGCACTTGAGAACTCGGCCTGGGGTATCTGAGCACTTCCGGAAGGTGGAAGAAGGCGGGACTCCCCCAAGCCGGCACTCTCACCCCCGAGAAGGTCCAGAAACAGGCTCTCTGTCAGCCGGGCTGTGATGCCCTCCCTGCCCCCCTGAAAGCTGCCCCCGCTGCTCTCAGGCGATGGGCAGAAGCTCCTTCTATCTTCCTCCATGTCCTCCTCCTCACTTGCCACCTGGGCCTCAAACAGCTCCACACACCGCACCACGCTGATGCTCTCTGGCCAGAGGATCGTCTTGCTGATCTCCACAGGGTGCCATGCTGACTTTCCGGGACCCTGAAAAGGCCCATTTCTGGCAGCCTTGGAGGAATCCTCATCCTTTTCTAGGCTGTGCTCCAGTAAACAGGGCAGGAGCTTGGTAAGACAAGTCTTCCAGCGTCTGCAAAAGCAAAGACAAGTTTGGTCAGGGTTCAGTTTCTCCACTTAGAAAACTCCTATTCATCCTTCAAAGCCCAGCTTGAAATCGCCCTGCACTGATATCTATCTATCTACTGCAGACATGCCTCCTGACTTTATATTCAATAATCTATCAGTCTATCTTCACTACTGGAGTGGGAACTCCTTGAAGGCAGGCCCTGTGTCTTACTTTGGGATTTCTGGAGCCTGGCGCATAACCTATCACCTAATACAAACTCAGTCTATTGAATAAGGAAAAGTCTGTCAAGGATGATATTTAAAATACTTATCAAGGCCACAGCATAAGTCATGACCAATTAGAATGGCTGTGGAGTCCTAGGGCTGGGGCAGCGTCCTGAGTCCCCTGCTGTGCTGAGAATAGACCCTTTAGTTACTGGATTGTGGGTAGTCCAGGAGGACCTGAGGGAGGAGTTAAGGAGGCCAGGATGATGGTAGGATACTCAAGGGTTGAGGATAGTGGCCATTTGCGAACCAGTATGCAATTACGTCAGCATTTTAACAACTGGCACAGCTGTGCTGGTTGTAAACTCTATCAGCCCCGCTCAGGCACTGAACCTCAGGGGGCCCAGCCAGCAGCCCACCTACCTACACCACCCCTCCTCCTGCCACCCCTCGAAGCCCAGCATCACAGGACAAGTGCTGAATGCCGAGAAAGAGAAGGCAGACGTGGAGGTGGGTTTCTGACTCCACACTCCAGGTGGGGCCCACTGCCCCAGTTCCACCACCTTCCAAATCCACGTGGGCTACGACCTAAGTGCATATACGTACGGGCACTTGGCTGGTTCCTCGCCTCGGGTCCGCTTCCCCCACAGTGGCACCTAGAACACAGAGGCAGCCCATGAAACAGAGCCGAGTGGCCCTCCAGCCCAGCCCGGCGGACAGCAGCGCGCAGTCAGTGTTTGCTGCAGAGAGACTGTGAGCCTTGACGTCACCAGGTCTGAGGTCCCATCAGGTCACTTTAGCTCTCCGAGCCTCAGTGTCCTGAGAACGAAAGAGACTGCCCTAATACCGCGTTGCTGTGGCTGATGGCAAAAATGGCCACAGTACTCTGATGCTCCCCCCACCCTTGAATCTGGCCTGGCCACGTGACTGGCTTTGACCCACAGAACGTGGTGGAAGTGACACTGCGCCAATGGGGCCAGCCTGCTGGAGGATGAGAGGCACTTGGCTTAGTCACCTCCACTGCCCCAGGTGAGAGGCAGCAACTGCCAGAGCTGCGAGTGAGGCCACTGGGGACAGGCCCGGCCACGGTCTGCCCAGCCCAGCCCAGGATCCCTCTACCCACACCACCGCCCTGAGTCCAAACTGCCGACCTGCAGCAGCAAGAGCTACATAAATGATGGTGGTTTTCACCCTCTAAATTTCAGGGCGATTTGTTACACGGCAAAACTAGCTGACACATAAACAGCACTTACCATGTGCAGGACCCTGTAATATACGCTTTACACATATTGTCTCAGTGAATTCCAGCATCAGCCCTGCTAGGTAAACGCTACTTTAACCCACATAGGAAACTGAGACTTGGAGAAGTTAAGCAACTTGCTCAAGTCCATGCTGCAGGTAAGGGGCAGAGCCGGGGCTCAGGGCCAGCCCCACTGGACTCCAGACCCTGCCATAGGGTCCCTGGAGAACGGAGGACCTCAGACCTTCTGTTCTAGACAGGGCCTGTTTTCCCCTTCCCTCCTTCCTAGGGAACCCTGATACTACTCAGGCAACCCCACGTGGCCATCGAGTTGGGGAAGCTGACCCCACCCCTAGCTCCGGGGGGACCACCTGGCTGGTCTCAAGGTATTCTCACTCTTTTATAGGTCTGGGAAAAGGGCATGTAGAGCAATTCAGACCAAAGAGAACTGAGGAGAGATCTGCTGGTGTTTCTGGACAGTTTCCTGCTCTCAAGAGGAAGACACAGGAAGCCTGTCCCCTCTTCCTCTCCTTTTGGCCTCCTGTTCTGGTCCAGGCATCCCTCCAGGAGATGATCTCCTCCCAAGGGAGGGAAAAAAACCAAGAGACCAACCCCAGAGGAACCCCAGGCTGAAAGAATAGCCATGGAAGCGGAGGGGAGGGGAGTGAAGGCCTCTGGGCTCCTAGTGACGACATTAAGCTGCTGAATCAACCTACCCTGAAACCGTCCTGACTTCTCACGCGCAATTCCAAAAGCCAATGAATGTCCTTAACATCCCAGACATCTGAATCATATTTCCTGACACGCGCAGGCCAAAGCGTCCTAACCCACCGACTCTCCTACCTGAGGATCCTGGATGACAATAGCCACGAGGGGGCTGTGGGCTGGGTTGGGAATCTGGTCCCACCATTCTTTCTTAATCCTGAAAAAGGAAAGGAAAAGGTGTTGGTCTTCAATCATTGACAGGTTGATGCTCCTCCCATAAAAATCATCATGGTCGCCAATACTTATTAGAGGTCAGAGACCATGCTGGTTGTTTCTGGATGTCTCCCTAACTCCACAGCAGCTTCTACTGCTAACCCCTCCTACAGATGAGGAGACTGAGGTCCAGAGAGGTAAAGTGACAGCTGGCAGGCAGAAGAGCCAGGGTCACGCTCCAGCATTCTGCTGCCCAGAATGGAGTTCCTACCGTGGTCACCTCTGTCCTCAGTGGGAACAAGCCCCAGGGACTTAAGAGAGACTCAAGCTGCAGAAAGAGACTTCTGGGTTTCCCTGTCAATTCCCCTCTCTCTGGAGCAGCGGAGGGCACGGTACCAGACAGGGGCCTGGGGTGGCCAGAGAAGCTGAGGGAACCCAGGAGGAAACAGCTTCCTTCTCTCTCCCTGGGTCTGCCTGGAGCCAGAGAGCGTCAGGCTGGGAGGAAAGGTTCTCCGATCATCTCTGGATGAGCCTCTGCCTGCTCCACTCAGTTGACACGCATTTATTGAGCACCTACAATGTACCACTCACTGTGCCAGGCCTCGGGGACACTACAGTGAACAAGACAGACAAAAACCCTGCCCTCGCAGATGTGACCTTCTAGAAGAGGGAGACAGACAAGCAGATATAGAAATGCTTATATGACATCATTCATTCATGGCAATAAGTATCACGCATAAAAATAAAGAAGATTAGGGAATAGAGAGGAATGGAGAGTGTGATCCAGGAAGGCCTCTCGGAGGAGGTGACCTCTGAACAGCAACTGAAGGTGGTGGAGGAGGGAAAGGGCTTCTGAGGCAGGGGCACAGCAAGCGCAAAAGCTCCGAGGGAAGAACCTGCTTGGTGCATTCAAGGAACAGCAAGGAGGCTGGAGGGCTGCAACATAGGGAGTGGGGTGGGAGAGGGACAGGTGAGGGGGAAACTGAGGCTCAGAGGAGGGTCGCTCAGAGGCATCAGCAACAAGACGTGGAGAGGGCAACTTCATTCCCTGACACCTACTGTGTGCACGGCAAAGTGCGGGACACACGCCCACGTCAATCCTCGGCCATCGCCAATCCTCATGTGGGGAGCTGGGACTTGCTAGTCCCATTTCAGAGATGGGAGGCCTGAGCCTCTAAGACTCCACAATTCCAAGTGCTCGAACTCACTGGAAGCAAGGCTCCTTCTACCTCCACCCACCGTGACCAGGACTCTCTTAGGACTCTTAGGACTGACGAGATATGTTCTCCCCGTTACTCTCAACCTGCAAAGGAGGGATCCACGGCTGACGGAGGTTCAGCAACCTGTCGGTCACACAGCTACCGACTTCCGGGATCCGAACCCAGACCAAGGCCAGGATCCGAACCCAGGACTCCTGACTCCATCAGGGCAGTAGTGTAGAATTCCTCTGTCTATGGCCATGTGCCCCCAAGCCTCTGGACTGTACCCTGGACACCCAGGGGGATGTCCTTCCGCCAAAGGAAGGTCCTTTCCTAGCTCTTCCCCTGGCCAGCTCATTCCCCCAGCTAGGTCTCAGCTCAAATATTGCCTCGCGATCCAAAACAGCACCCCAGAACATAGCTCCCCTCGCCCTGGCACATCTCCTTCAGAGCATGGAAAACGGTCGTCGTTATTGGTTGGCCTGGCACCTCTGTCTGCCCACAAGGAGCACAGGGTCCTGGTCGGTCTTGTTCTCAGCTGTTGCCTCAGTGCCTCGTGCACAGTAGCTGCTCAATAAATATTTCTTGTTGGACGAAAGGACTGCAAGCCGACAGATCAGAAGGAGAACTCTCGCCCGCCCCACACCCCAGAGGGGCTCGCTCGGCGGCATCCCGTGCGGAACGCGGGACTCACTTGATGATGCTGAAATAGCAGGACAGGCAGACGGCCAGGATGACAATGCAGGAGATGCTGACGCCAAGCGGGAGGCGCTGCTCCAAGGGCTGCTGGTAGTCTGCAAGCAGGAGGGAAGCTGTGAGCCTGCGTCGGGCTACGTACGCTGGTCTCCATTTCCCAGAGCTGGGACCGAGGCCTCAGGAGAGTGTCCTCTGACACCCTGTGTGGTCTGGCGGCCACCAAGCCCCCCTGCCGCATCCCCTCTTACTCTCCCCCTCTTGCGCTGAGCCCTCATCATACTCCTTGTCCCTTGCTCCTCCAAAGCTCAGCGCCACCTGAGGCTCTTTTTTTTTTTTTTTTTTTTAAAGATTTTATTTATTTTATTTTTTCCCCCCAAAGCCCCAGTGGATAGTTGTGTGTCGTAGCTGCACATCCTTCTAGTTGCTGCATGTGGGACTCGGCCTCAGGATGAACAGAGAAGTGGTGCCTCGATGCGCACCCGGGATCCGAACCCGGGCCGCCAGCATCGCAGCGCGCGCACTTAACCACCAAGCCACAGGGCCGGCCCTACCTGAGGCTCTTGAACCTGCTGCTCCCTCTCTCCTGAAGCACAGAGGTCATGTGCAGGGCCCCTGGAGCTGGGCGACCTGAGTTCCAAGCCCGACTCTGTCATATCCTTGCTGGTGACCCCGGACAAGTCCCTCACCCTCTCTGTGCCCCGGCTTCCTCATCTGTACCATGGGGTCATCTCGTAGGGCTGCTGTGAGGATTACACGATTTACAGACACTGCACGCGGGACAGCGCCCGCACGTCCGTAAGCATTTGCTGTTCTCATCTTCGCACAGCTGGCCCCTTCTCCTCATTCGCCTCCCTGTCACCCGCTCCAAAAAGTTTTCCCCACACCCTCTCTACTGTCGCCCCTCCCATCACTCCATCCCCTGACGCTGCTCTATTTTATTCCCAGGCTGACTGTCTTCCAGATCTCCATCTCACTGATTGATTTGTTTGTTTACTCGTTTACTTTCTGTCTCCCCCTCCAGAACGTCAGTTCCATGAGAGGAGAGATGTTCGTCTAGTTCACCGCTGATTCCCCAATGTCTGGCACAGGGCTAAGCACACAGTAGGAGCTCAGTAAATATGGTGGAGACAATGAATGCACGTCCAGCACGTGGTATCTGTTCCATACAAGCTGCTTCTCTTCCCTTCCCCAGGTCAATGGTAGAATCAGATCAGTTCAACAACACGTTCCCCAGCCCTCACTGTGCGCCCAGCCCTGTGCTGGGCACTGGAGACGCAGACAGAGTGGACCCTACCTGTGAGCCCCAGCCCAGAGCGGGAGACAGACGGGTCAAGAGATATCTATGGGACAAATGAGCAATGTTGAGAGGGACATGTCGCAGGCTGGGTCAGGGTGACTGCCAACCGCCACTGTGTCCAGCACACTGAAGAATCCTTCTTCCACTGAATGCTCACGGCAGCCCTTACTCCTCCCCATCGTACAGATGGGGGCAGCCGCCCCTACCCACCAGTCACCTCCCCTTCCTCCTTGCCAGGCAGCAACGTGCCCACCCTGAGGTCTGGCCACTCATGATTACTCTATTCCCCTCTCCAGACTTTTGAGTTCCCAGCCTCCCTTGCCATTAGGAGAGGCCACGTGGCAGTCCTGGCCAATGAGACACAAGGGGAAGTCTGCTAGGGAAGCTTCCGGAAAGATTTTTGCTTCATGATAAAAGAGAAAGATTCGGGAGGTGCACTCTCTCGTGGCAGTCTTTCCTTTCCTTTGGGCCCTGGGGCATGAGGGTGTGTGCAGCAGCCAACTTGGGGCCAGGAGGTGACAAGTCTAAGGATAAAATGCCACCATGCTAAAGATGGTGGAGAAAAAAGACAAGACTCTGGGTGACATCACTGAGCTGCTGTGTAAAGCTGGGAAGGCCCACCTGTAAGACTTCATGTCATGTGAGATAATTTAATATTTTTATTGTAAAAGCCATGTGTGATAGAGTTGTAAAGATTGTTTGGGGGGGTGCAGCTACCAAGAGAGGGACTACATGTCCCAGAATCCCTTGCAGCCATGTGTCTGCGCGTTATCAGTTTCACCAATGGAACTCCAGAGAAAGTGATGTGTGTCACTTCTGGGCTCAGGCTTTTAAGAAGCAGGTGTGGTCTCCCTGCTCTCGCTCCCCTTCTGCTGGCTGGAGGCCGACGATGGCAGGGCCCTACAGCAGGGATCTTAATTTGGGGTCCACGGACCTCCAACAAGGCTGCAGAGAGAGTTCAGGGGTCTGGGAACTTGAATGGGAAAGAAATGACTTTATTTTCACTGACCTCTGCCACCTTGCATTTCCTCCCACTAGGAATGCAGGGAGCAAACCATAGCAATAGCATCAGCCCCTCAGCCCCCAATAGAAATCACAGCTATTCTCGTATTGCATTCCAGCTGCAGTATCATGAAACAGCATTTATGCTCACCTACTCTGAAATTATAGTATTTATGAGAACTACCACTAGATCTTGTTTTTAGTGTTAATAAAGAAGCATATATTCCCAGATAACAAATATATTTAAAAATATTTTTATAACCACATTTCAATAAAATTAGTTCCCTTGTAATCTTATGTATTTTATTTTATGCATTTAAAAACATTCTGAGATGGGGATCCACAGGCTTCACCAGACTGCCACAAGGGGGTCTAGGATACAAAAAGGTTAAGAATCTTTGCCCTAGAGAATGATGGCGCCACATGATGGACAGAGCCCCAGTGCCCAAATTTCCACAGGGAGGAAAACCACTCACAAACCAGCAACATTCACGTTGGACTGTTACTGGAGCAGGAAATACATTTCTACAGTATTAAGCCACAGAACTTGTGGGCTTATTTGTTACTATAGCCTACCCTGCCGACCCTGACTGGTACACCGTGTCAGCTGGTCATTCTGTTACCCGCAGTTAGAGGCATCTTAGGATACGGAGACCCAGAGGCTCAGCCCTGGGAAGTGTCTGTCCACAGAGTAAAAATGGGGAGCAGAGATTCTAACCGAGAGATACTCACAGTTACGCCACTTGACGCTGGGGGTCCACTCACTCCAGGTGCCGTTGTAGCTCTGAGCCAAGGCCTTCACCCGTGCGCTGTAGGTAGCCCCAGACTTCAGGGTGCTGGCTGCGATGCGGAGGACGGGATCCAGGTAGGTCACGTCATAGATTTTGAACTGGTAGAGGAAAGGGAGACATGAGCACACCAGCTATGGGGGAGGGGAGTACCAGCTCCCACCCTGGCTGCCGTCCTGAGATGACCCCGCAGGGTTTAAGAGCCACCAGCCTGGGTATTTGGTTATTCCCTCCACTCAGGCCTATGGTGCCGCCTCCACTACTGTGACCAGAGTTGAGCGAGATGGGGCAGGGGATCAGCCTTCCCTCTGGCTCCCCCACTGATCAGCCACGTGACAGGACCGGAGCAACCTTTCTGAGTTTTAGTTTCCTCATCTGTAAAACGAAGATAAGACACCCTACTGCCACTTTCTGGCTGCGTGACCTTAGGGAAGTGACGTAACCTCTCTGCACCTCAATGTCCTTTCTGTAAAACGGCGATAATAAGAGTGCCTACCTCCCGGGGTTGCTGTGATGATGAAAGGGGCTAATACAGGTGAGCACCTAGGACAGGGCCTGGCATGCGCGGAGCACGAGAGTGACCTTTCTGAAGCACAGATAGGGTCACCGCGTCCCTCTCTTTCCTTCATGAGCTCTCTCGAGCCTCCACAGTCAGGCCCAAACTCACTGGCCTAGAATCTCAGCCCCATCCAACCTAGTCCCCAGGGCAAGGGACTTCCAGGATCTGTTGTTGGGTGGAAAAGGTAACATGAAGATTAGTGTGTGCTGTCTGCTGCCTTTTATGTTAAAAAAAAAAAAAAGGGAGCAGGCAGTGACGGTGGCAGACAGACTCTGAGATGGCCCCGTGACCCCACCTTGTGTAACCCCCTCTTATTGAGTGTGGGCGGGCCCTGTGACTTGTTCCTAAGCAAGAGAACATGGCAAAGGTCACAGGTGCATAGGGATTACACACATGTGATGACTCCAGGTCAGACTGTAATTCCAGCTTCCTAAGAGACTCTCTCTTTTGCTGGCCTTGAGAAGGCCACCAGAAAGGAAGTGAGGGCGGCCTCCCACCAAAGGCCAGCGAGAACCTGAGGCTCTCAGTCCAACAGCCCATAAGAAACTGAATGCTGCCAACATCACCAGAGCTTGGACATGACCTTTCCCCAGTTGAGCCTCAGGTGAGACCGCAGCCCCGGCTGACTCCTGATTGCAGCCTTGTGAGATGCTAAGGAGAGGACTCAGCTAAACTGTGCCCAGACTCCTGACCCCCAGGAACTGTGGGACAATAAGTGTGTGCCATTCAAAGCAGCTACCTTTGTGGTAATGTTATTATGTAGCAAGAGAAAAGTAACACAGTGATTACTTTTCTATTGTATCGTGTATTGTGTAGCACCAACATGAACACACGTTTGCTTGTATAGGCACACACTCTCTGGAAGGACACGCCTGCCTCCAAGGCCTCTGCCTGCTCTAGCCTGGCCTTCCTTTCCCTCCTGGCAAGAGATGGGAGCAGAGGTCAACATCTGGAAGAGGGATTGGACGTTAGGGTTGAGGGAGAAACATATTCCCTATCTAAGTCCTTTCGTACCATCTGAATTTTTTACTGTATGTCAATATTACTTTTATAAAAAAAACTTTAAAAAATAAAAAATGAAGTAAAATTTGTGTTCCAGATTGATTCTGACAGAAGGTAAGACTGGCCTGAATCCTCTGCCTGGTGCTCCTCCCCCAGCAGGGTCCGTCCCTGTGCAGCCCTCCCTCCTCCTTTGGCCCCAGCGGCCCCTTCCCAGCTCCTGGCAGCTCCGCTTCTGTTTGCGGGTTGGAAGCTTGTTTGGGGAAATGGTGTCAAGAGAGCTGAGGGGAGGTCTGCACAACGAGGTTGCCGGAGAAGTGGAGGGCAGCTGGGGCTTCCAGCGGAGCTGAGGATGGGGCGGGAGCTGCGGGGGGAGACCAGGGCAGGCAGAGGACACTCGCACTTTCTGTCTTCCTTTCTTTCCAAATATGGGTAAGCAGGAAGCAAGAGCTGGACCTAGTTCACCAAAGGAATCACATACCCTGGACTGGAGCAGGAGACTGGGAAATGTTTTACTAAGGAAAAGAAGAGAAGTCAGAGCTTGCCAGGAACTTCTGTCAGTTTGCTTGTTTTTTAACCAAAAGGCCAGGTGTTCGGGAGACCGCTGAGAAAGATCCAGGGGAGGAAACAACACAGGCTCTGGAGTTCAAATCCCAGCTCTGCCATGTTCAGCTGTGGGACCCTGGGCGAGCATTCCACCTCTCCAAGCCTCAGCGTCCTCATCACTAAAACGGAGAGACGAACACCTTCCTACCCGCAGGGCTCTCACAACCACGGGTGATAATATATGCCATGCCTGGCACATAGTGGGCACATGAGAAATGGTAAACATAACCATCAGGAGCGTGGCACTCATGACCCTGAATAGACTTGTGGCCTCAGTTTTTGCTTTTTCACTGCACACATTCCCACATCCCCATAATCCTCAGATATGCCATGAATTTTCATACCTCCAAGCCTTTGCTCATGTAGTTCCCTCTGCCTGGGCCAGCCCCGAGCACCCACACGACCAGTGAGCCACAGCCCGGGCACACTGACCCATGCTATCCACTGGCTGGAGTTCAGCACTAGGTCCTAAACCTGGCTGTGCTTCCGCCAGCCCCGTCCCTGCCGCCTCTTCCTCAGAGTTCCCTCTGGGGAGCCCCCCTCCCTCATTCTCAGCCCATCTGGTTTGAGATGAGCTGACCCCACCTGCCGCTCTAGAGGTGCCAATCAGAGCACCGCACCTGCACCCTCTCCCCTGCCCACAGCCTGCGACCAGTTCAGAGACTGGCTCGTGACGCAAGCCAGCAACTGAGCCCTGGCCCCAGGACTTTTACTGGGACTACCTGGAAAGAAAAACTTTTCCCCCTGCGGCTTTGGGATGTAGGCCCGGAGCTGCTAGTGGGCATATCGGCCACGACCTGAGGGAAAAGCCCGCCTAAATGAAGCCAGCACAGAATACAGCAGGGCCAAGGGCTGGAGATGCCTGGAACCTGGATCCAGCCATGACACACACAAATACCACTTCTTTGGACCCCACGGCTCATACCCCTCTCTTCCCTCCAGCCTATCCCCTGAACCAAGCCCTGCACGGGCCCTGACACGGGAGAGAGATTTATCGACAAAACCGAACCTGCCTCTTGCCTTGGCGTTTGTGCCACCCTGCTCTCCCCAGCCGCCTCGAGCCTCCGCTCTGTCAGCCTGGCTGCCCACTTCCTGTCCCAAACCCCACGTCCTGGCCCAGCGCCAGGGGGAAACCACACCTGAGAGATGTAAATCGACACCCACACCTCCTCTGGTGGCCAGGAAGAGAGGGGGCAGCGACAGAGGCTGAGGTGGGAGCTTAAGACGTCTGGGGCCTGCTCCCCGGTGGCCGAGGCCAGGCAGCCTGGGTCCCAGGACACGACACAGCTCAGAGCAGGCCCTTGATGACTCTGAGCGAGCAAGTTACAGACCAGGGCGTGGGGGCGAGGCGGATGGGCTTTCTGAGGCCTGCGGGCCTCAGGAGAGAGGAGGAGGACGTTGGCGACGTTCTCTGTGCCAGGCAGGGGTGCGTGTCTCTGTCACACCCTGCGCTCTCAACAGGCCCGAGGGGCAGCTACTCCTGTTACCCCGTTACAGCTGAGGAAACAGAGGTACAAGGAAGTTAAGCGACATGCTCAAGGTCACATAGTGGGCACATGGCAGGGCACGTACTGGAACCCAGCTCTGTAGGACACAGGGACACGGTGTTCCAATGTTCCCCCAACGGGAATGTCTGAGGGGAGAACATGGTGGGGGGGAATGATCTCTACCCCCACCTGCAACTAAAATAGAGGGGGCCAAGCCAGCCCTTATGGACTGCCCTGCTATGACTTACTTGAGAGTCTCCTGTCAATCAGCACTCTTTTTTAAAATGTCAATACATTTATTTAAAAAGGAACCTGGGGCTGGCCTGGTGGCGCAATGGTTAAGTTCGCACACTTCGCTTCGGCGGGCCGGGGTTCGCGAGTTCGGATCCCGGGCGCAGACCAACGCACCACTTGTCAAGCCATGCTGTGGCAGCGTCCCATATAAAGTAGAGGAGGATGGGCACAGACGTTAGCCCAGGGCCAGTCTTCCTCAGCAAAAAGAGGAGGATTGGCAACAGATGTTAGCTCAGGGCTAATCTTCCTCAAAAAAAAAAAAATTAATTAAAAAAATAAATAAATAAAAAGGAACCTGCTGTCACTGCTTTGACTGGAAAGTAAGCATCAGGTGCCCTGAGTATCGCATAACAGTAAATGCAACGGGAACCAGGAACCAAGCAACGATGTTACATTACAGCTGAACTTGTTTCCTGGGGGAGGCTCTGAGCCTGCAGTCTCCTCTCTCTGTTAAACATCATCTGGGGTTAGTAAACCGACCAGCTCAGCTGAGACACCTCTCATGACCAGTCAGGGTAGGGGGAGCCCACGAGGAAGAACTGTCTCACTCTGGAACTTGGTGACTTAAGTGGCTGTTGGAGGTACCACCTCAAGTCTCAGGGAAACACAGAGCTGGCCCAGACCTCTCCTTTACACATGAGGGGCAGGGCCCAGAAATAACGCCCCTTCTCTGCACACTGGGAATCAGGGCCCTGCACAGAGGCAGGGTAGAAGCCAGGGCTCTGGCCCAGGGCTGAGTCTCTCCCTCGACGTAGGCCCAAGAGGTGGTGCAGAAACCCCCTGGGGAGCCACTCACATCCGCGGGGTCATCTTCATTGGAGATGTTGACCAGGTAGGTGAGCTCAGAGTACAGGTAATTCTCCAAAGGGTACGGGTTGCTCCACGTCAGCAGCCACGTATGGGAGACGTTGGCGTGAACCATGAGGTTTCTGGGCGCCCTGGGCTTCACTGCGGAGAAGCAATGCCTGGTGAGGGGCTCGGCTGGGCGGAGGAGGCGGCCCACCCGGCCTGCAGACCCCGGGGCATTGGGATTGTCAGCCAACACCACATCCACAGGACATGTATGGGTACCACATAGATTTAGAGTCATAACAGAGAATTACAATCACAACACTGACACTTAGGTTGCTAAAATTCATCTTAAGCACGTTAGCGATTATTAACTACCCTCCTCAGTGAATGCAAAATGCAGAAGCCAAAGTAACCCAAACTCCGGCTTCTTTCCTCTCATCCTTCACACTTGTGGCCATACCTGTATATTATATTATTTACTAAGGATTTTTCTTTATTTTGATTCATGTGTTTTAAAACTTAGTCTCTTTTTAAGCCATCGTATCCTTGGGATCACAGGTACATAATCTGCATTAAAATCAACATACACATGTAAAAATTATTTTCATTCATGAATTCGTTCGTGGGTCGATTTAAATAACTCCCCGACCACCAGCGGGATGAGTATGCCCTTCAGGAACTGCTGATGGTGGGGCGAAGATGTGAGCTCTGCGAGAATGCTGCACCTGCTACTTAGGAGCTGTGTGACCTTAGGCAGGTTACTTGCCTTCTCTGTACTACAGTTGATTCAACTGCAAAATGGGAATAATAACTCTCTTCTCGAAACTGAGGCTCAGAGAGGTAATGTGACTTGCCCAAGGTCACACAGCAATAAACGTTGTTTTCAACTCCTGTCACTACACCCCAGCAAGTTCATGGGGAATTCCTGTGGGGACTCTGGGTACCAGGATAATGTCAGCCTTCCGTGGTCCAGACTGTCTACTGAAGGGAGCCTGATATACTGCTGAGCCCAACCCCATTTCAAAGATGAGAGGACTGCGCCCCAGAAAGCAGCAAGAACTCCACCAGGTTTGGGAATAGGTAGAAGGCTGCTTGGACCCCCCTCCCCCCAGTGGAGCCCACCCCCTGCCCCCGAGCCCAGCCGGCTGCGGGAACACCTGCGCCCCGCCCTGCCCGCTCACCACGCTTGCCCGGCATGAAGGAACTGCTCCACAGTGGCTGCTTCCCCGCCCACAGGTCCAGCTGATAGATGTCCTCGTTGACTATGCTGTCCATCAGCATACTGCACACACACACCGCGCCTTCTTTGTTCTCGGGGACACACGTGAGGTTGCTGCCGAGACAGGTGCTGTGTTAGTCTGGTCAGGCGACCCACAGGGGTCCCGGGGACATGCCTCAAGGAGCCACACGCTCTTCCAGCTTCCTGGTCACCCTGCCTCAAGGACCAGATCTGGACACTTGGGGGCAGAGTGTCCAGGGTGTGGTGGGACAGTGGACGAGGACCGCCTTCCCTGCTGGCCACGCCCCTCCCACATCCACCATGGACTCTTATATGCCCTGGGCTGCAGCCCTGCTCCCGGGACTCAGCTCATCCCGGAAAGCCAGTGAAAGGGAAGAACCCGTGGCATTAAAGAATTGATCAGGACCTGTGTGTCTGTCCCAGCGTACCTCTGGGTGGCACATTTATCCCAGGGTACAGCAAACTATGGCATGATTTGCATGCTGCCTGTAGGCACACGCCCTGTGCACCACAGCATAATCCTAATACGCCGCCAAAAACAGTCAACCCTGCGTCCCATGGGCTGGCAAACATTTTCTGTAAAGGGACAGATAGTAAATATTTTGGGTTTTGAGGGCCATACCATTTCTGTCCCAACTACATAACTCTTCTGATGTAGCACCAAAGCAGCCAGCCACAGAGAGTACATAAACGAATGGGCATGGCTGTGTGCTAATAAAACTTTATTTATAAAAACAGGTAGTGGGCCGGATGTGGCCCAAGAGCCATAGTTTGGGGATCCTTGGTCTAGGCCAATGTACCACATGCAGAAGCACAGCCCATCCACCTTAGTATATGCTGGAATGCCACCTCTGTCAGTGTACCCTATATTCTGGTGTGCTGTCTATCCCAGTGTGTACGCTCGTGTACCCGAATATGTACCCACGATCACCACCTGTAACAGCACCTCGTGTGCCATCGATTATCCCAGTGACCCACCTGGAACAATGTACCCCACGTTCCATGGTCCGCCCACATCACAGTGAACTCCACCACTAACACTGTACCCCCAAACAATGGTCTGGCCCAGCAGTTCTCAAAGTGTGGTCCAGGGGCCGCTAGGTCAAACTATGTTCAAAATAATCCTAAGACATTATTTGCCATTTCACTCTCTCTCTCACAAGAGTACAGCGGAGTTTTCCAAAGGCTACATGACGCGTGACAAGGTCACTGCTCTGACGGCTTGTTGAACGTGGGCTTGTGTGCTGTTCCGATTTAAAATTTCTGTTTTAATTTCTAAGAGGGTAAATATTGATAGATATAAGCTACCTAGACAAAAGCTTTTGGGATCCTCACTAATTTTTAAGTATGCAAAAGAGTCCTGAAACCAAAAATTTGAGAACTGCTGGTCTAGTGCAATATTCCATCCACATCCACATGCCACACACCTCGGGGACAGTGTGCTCGGGGCACTGTGACATACTCGTGGTCTCCTACATACGCAGCGCCCCAGGGCGCCTCGCCTCTGACCCTGTGCCAGGGAGCCCCAGCAAACTGCATTAGCATCACGCACTGCAGGGCGCCACCCAGACCAGGGGAACTCCTGGGGCAAACCCTCGGGGCACAGTTTCCCCGGACACCCCCCCCCGCCCCCCGCCCCCGGCCCAGGCTTACTCATAGTTCTCGTCATTCAGCTTGTAGGACAGGCGGAGCTGGGCACTGCAGTTGGTGGGACCGTCCATCTCCCACTCACAGGTGGAGGTGTGGATGTAGTCGGAGAAGCAGACGGGCAGATGCAGGACCTTAACGCTCCCTGGGGAGACACAGGAGCACTCTGAGCAGCCGGAGCCCCACAAACAAGAGGGACACGTCGGAAACCAGCCGCAAAGGAACAAAGCTTTCCGCTGCTCGGGATGCGAATGGCTTTTCTGGGAGAGGTCGTCAGTATCTCCAACACGTTTTCTAATTACTAATGCTAATTACTTGCATCACCATTTGCATACCATTATGAGGCAGAAGTTACAGAGGGCTGGGCCAGTTTTATTTTTTTTTTTCCTCCCATTCATTCAGGAATGAGGAGACTTCCACCCAAGCTAAGCATTTGACAACAGACAGGACAGGTGGAGCTGAATTGGCACCTCTCCACATCTTCTGGGAGGCCGGTAAATCAGCCCAGACAAGACCAAGGGGCCCACCATAAACAAGGAAACCACAGTCCCCGGCCCTCACAGAGTGGGGTCGGGCCCACAGCTCCTGGAGCTCCCCAGCTGGCACTGGGGTGACTCCTGAGGCTGAAGAAATACCCTGGGGTGCAGGGTCCGTCAGTGGGGATGGACCAAATGTACCCTCATCTGAGGCAAACGAAAGGAAAATGAAAGGAAAAATGGTGATAGTCTAAGGGGTGCTGTTCCACGACATGTGTCTGCCCTGCGGAGGTGGGAGTGGGGCAGGCGCTGCTATTCACCTGCCCACTCCCTGCCCCCACCTATTCCCCACCCCTCTCTGTGCTCAGGATGCTGACCCCTCGTCCTCTGGCTTCCTGTTGGGTTCGGCCAATATTGAAGGGCGGGATGAGAGGCTGGGGTACTCCTTCCAGCCAGGCAGAGGCAGAGCTAGGACTGGAACCGGGCGGGATGTATACTGAATTTGCCAAATCCTCTGAGAGCCGTTTTAGCTCCAGACCACCCGCACCTCAGCGCCGGACCCCACCACCACTGGCATCCATTTGCATTTGGTCGCTGGATACAGGACCTACCATATCAAGGAGACTCTTAGATATTTAATAAATATATTAAACTCACCTCATGTCCAAAACTAACTCCGATTCCCTGGCCCCCAAAACACACGCTCCTTTGCCTCTCAGAAATGACAACCGCCTCCTTCCCAGTCACTCAGGAGTCATCCTTGACACCTCTCTCTCACCTCCGTTCCAGTGTTTTCAAATCTACCTTCCAGATGGATGCAGAAGCCCATCCCCTCTCATCTCCTCTGCTGGTCCAAGCCCCCCTGGCTCACCATGGCGCCTCCTCCCTGGCCCCCGGCTTCCACCCTCGTGCGCACCGCCAGACGGATCCTCTGCCCAAACCCGCAAAGTCCTTCTTGACTTGGCCACCCTGTTACTCCTCTGACTTCATCCCTTTCCTCCTCCTGCTCCCCGCCTCCACCACACCGGCCTCCTTCAGTCCCTCCAACGCTCCAGGCAGCCTCTCGCCCCAGGGCCTCCACTGAGATCCTCCCCCCACCCTGATATCTGCATGGCTCCCCACTTCCTTCGAGTCTTTGCTCAACTGTCACTCAGTGAGGACTTCCCTGAGCATCGTATTTTCGATTGCAATCCTCCCACTCTACCCAGCCTCCCCACTCCTCCCTACCGGGTTCTACACGGTCTTTTCCATCATCTTCCAACAGTCTTTAGAATTTACTCATAATTAGGAGCATCTGTCATTGGCCGCCCCCTCCCATTAGAGTCTAATCTCCTCAAGGCCAGGGGCCATCATTTTGTTCACGGATTATCCCGGGAGCCTGGTGCGGACACAAGCAACGCACATTTGCTGAATGACTGAAGGAAGGAGAGGTGCTGGCTTACCTGCCGCCCAGACCAGGAGCAGGCAGCTCATGGGGAGCGCGAGCCCAGAGCAGAGCCGCCCCATTGGGAGATCCAACGGCACCTGCCGAGAGAAAGTGAGCCGAGTTAGTGGGACCCAGGGTTCCTACCATCCCCGTCACCCCAAGTGCAGCTTGTAGGGCTCATCTCCTCCAGATACAATCCTCCCCCGGCCAACAATGAGCACTCCATGTTCACCAGAGCTGTTTATAACCACGAAACACAACCCAAATGCACAAAGCCCAGAGTGAGAGCCAAGAACACCTGTCCCAAGAGACGCTTCTGGAAAAAAATCCCATGGCCTGCTAAGTGTGAGCAACCCCTCAGACTTTCGGAAGTTCATAACGCACATTTGTGTGTAAAGGTTCTGATAAGTCCTGCAGTAAAGAAATTTATTTTTCTTCATTTAACCCAATGCTTACCAAATTCATTTCCATACCCAACCTTCAAGTTTCTGCGTGTGTGTGTGTGTGTGTCAAAACCCCAATTAATCCCCTGAAGGATTTACAATTCCTTGAAATGTTCTTCGGAAATGCTAATCTAATGGTCCAGCCGTACAGAGCTGGTTAAATAAACGATGCTGTACCTACGCAATGCAGTATAAAATGATGCTGTTGAGTGTGTTAGACCTACCACATTAATGGCCCTGATTCTTCACTCCTCTTGTACCCATGTAACCTTGCAGTGCCCCCACCACCACCACTCCGGCCAGGGCATTCTCCCTGCCTCCCCCCTTGGTCTCTGGCTCAAGAGACCAGGTTTGCCACAGAGACTAGCTTTGCCAGCAGAACATTAGCAAAAGTGATGCAGGCAGAGCCTGCGTTTGCATGACCACCACCTTGAGAACACTGGGCTCGCCTGCTGGAGGATGGGGACGTGCAACAGCCCCAGCAACCTCATTCTGCAGCAGGCAGCAGGCAGCCACCCCACCCCCATCATGCGACTGAGCTTGTGCAAGATCAGCAGGGCTGTGTGGCCCACCCGAGGCTGACCACAGATGCAGGAGCGAGCCCAGCGAGATCAGCTAAGCCCATGTAAACTGCCCCCCAAAACTAGAGCGAAATAAGTGTCACCTGCTGTACGCCCCTGAGGTTTCATGCTTGTTTGTCACACGGCGTTATTATTGTTCCCCTCCCTCCTTACCCCGCCACCCTGACTTCTAATCCCACAGGCTACTTTTGCTGTTTTGCAGTTTCTATAAATGGAATCGTGCACCGCTCCTATTGTGTTAACGACATCCCATAATGCGACTGAGGAATACACATTAGAAGGTACAGACATCCAGAAAGAAAACACAATTCAAATCCCCCTAAAATCAAGGCCCACTTACACACTGGAATCTATTCTTCCAGATTTATTTCCATAAAAATAAGGAGATAAATACGAATTTTATTTACCAAAATAGCAGCACCCTCTCCATACTAAAACTTAAATTTTAAACTTATTATACCATTAATGTCATTCCATGCCACTCAATTTAGATCCAAAGCATGAAATTAATAGTCTTCCACTGTGTGCCTACCACTGGATTTTAGCCCGGATTTATTACTTTTATTACTCTGTTATTACACACAGCTCGGTTTATGCACCTGTCCTTGGAGAGCCATCCTACACATTTCTCTGATTGTCCCCTAACTTTAAACACCTGCTCTGCCACTTACTCCTTGTGAGTCCTGAGCAAGCTGCTTCACCCCCTGTGCCTCAGTTTCCCAATCTGCAAAGTGGGGCTAACAGCCCCATCTTGCTGGGGTGTTGTGAGGATCAACTGAGCTAACACACGTAGAGTCCCCAAACAGTGGCCTGAACACTGTAACGACTCGAGTAATGTCACCAGTGATTATCATTAAGGAAAATGCTCAGGAGCAGACTCCCACGGGGTCAGAGAGCGTCCACTCTCCCCCCACACTCCTGGCATATAAGGCCAAATGCCCTCTAAGAAGCAGTGTCCCGAGGCATACACCCCTGGCAATGCTGACAGCGCCCCCCTCGCCCTGTCCCCGCTGGGGTCTCTATCTTGGGGTCATATTCGGAAAAGCAGCGTCCAGGCCTCCTTTGGCTACTGAGTATCCAAGTGCTGGTAAGACAGTTACTCTATCTTTCATTGCTTGGCCTCCTCCACCTGCAACGCGGGAATGACACCAAGATCGCCCTCACAGGTGCACCGCGGAGGACAGGCGGCGGGTACCTAAAGCACCCTGCACGGTGTGCGGAGCGCGGTAAGGGCGTAATGCCGCGTCAGAAGCCCACACCCCTGCTGGAAGCTCTCCAGTGACTTCGTCCCACTGGAAGGTCCTGCCCAGCCAAGCCTGCCTCCCTCCCCACCTGGCCCAGCACCTGTGCACGGAGCTGCTGCCACCCGCACGTCTTCACTTCCTGCTGCTCTCCAAACACACCGAACTCATCCTGCCTCCAGACTTTCCTCTTGCGGTCCTTCCATTCATATTCCCTCTCTCTCAGTCTCTCTCTAATTTATTCATCGTGGATAAATTACCCCTTAATACTCCAGTGTATATTTCAGAAAAACGAGGACACTCTCCTGCATAACCACAATACGATCATCAAAATCAGGAAATTACCAATGATGCATTACTGCCTTCTAATCCACAGACCCGACTTCCATTTTGCTGATGGCCTCAATGATGCCCTTATAAGTCCAGGATCCAGGTCGGGACCATGCACTGCATCTGATTAGCATGCCGCCCCAGCACCCGGGTCTTGGCTTCTAAACACAATTCTGCACTGAAAGGAACCAGGGATCCTCGCAGAAATGACTCACTCCAGGAGCAGGAAAGTACAAAAGACGCCTGCAGTTCTTGTTGTGCCAGAAAGTAGGGGAGCGCTCCAAGAATGAGGGGAACACGTCACAAAGACACAGGAACCAGCCTGACAGGTGCCCTCTGGCCAAAATAGGCAAATTGGAGCATCACAACAAATACTATAGTAACCAACGGTAACCCTTGCCGTTAAAATAGGGGTCCAGGAGTCTACAGAGAAAAAGATCGCTAAGTGGGGGGCAGCTCCCTTCCACCACGGCGGCCTCTGAGTATCCCCACAAAACTCGTATTAATTATCCATCAATTAATGAGTCAAAATACTTACTAATTAACTTTATGATACAGAAACCTGGCCGACACCCTCCTTAACCAAGTGGTCAGAGTTAACATCGTCAGGAATGGGATACATCAAGGTCACAGGCTTTCTGAAACCAATGCCCTGAGAAGAACACAACACTGCTTCTCTGGTGTTCCTGCCCCCAATGCCCAAATCACGTGGAAACGTCGACAAACCTAAACTGAGGGGCGGTCTCTAAAGGAACTGGCCTGTCCTCTTCAAAAAGTCCCCCGGGGGCAGAGGGCAAGGATGGTGGAGAAGTGGGCTCTTCTCAGTTGTCCGTCAGGCTGGTAGCTGGTGTGTGTCCTGTTCACGGCCGAGTTTCTCGTTCCCACAGCAACGCCGGGCGCGTCCCACGTGCTCAGTACGTTTGTCGCATAAAGTCATTTTGGATGTGATGTGGGGCCCCTAACAGGCCCTGCACAGGGCTGGAAAGCTCTCCCTAGGAGGAGACTCAATATCCACTTGAAGCCCCAAGGCGCCTTCCTTGCTGCGAGTCTAGTGAAGATCAAGGAAGGACGGGCGGGCGTGGGCTGGTGGGTCCATGACGTCGGTTTCTTCTGCAAAGTCCCAGTCACTTTCCCTCTCACAAGTTCACAGATGCCCACAGCATCCTGTGGCAGAAAAGGCAAAGGTGTCGCTTTAGCCCCAATTTTGAACAAAGAGAAACAGGTCAAGATGCATGTCCAAGGTCACAGAGCAGAGGGGCTATCGTGGTAAAGTCCTCGAAAGGAGGGTGGACGAGTCCAGCAACCCCACAGGGTATACTAAAACATCACGTCCACGGCAGTCGGGGATGTCATCTTTGATCTGTTTCAGAGGGCACATTGACGTGCATCTGTGCACGTGCACACCCACAGACACTCTAGCTGGCTTCACAGGGGTGTGTGGGTGCTGCATTGCAGGGGAAACCGCGGCAGAGACACAGCGAGAGAAAAGGCCTCCCTGAACATCACAGGGAATGGAGGACAAGGTGCAGACAAGTAGAGGAATGAAAAAGAATAATTCCCAGGTGATCAGGGGCAGGCATGTGGCAAGAGGAAATCATTTCAGGTTTGCACCCTCAGTCACGGGATTCCTGACATGTTGGACTTGGGAGGGGTCTCAGGGGTCGCCTGCCTGGCTCAACTTCCAACGGCACAGGGACGCCCTGCAAATATCCCGTCTCTGACACGTTGCCATCCAGGTTCTGCTTGTACCCTGCCACAGACGGGGCGCTTACCCCCAGGCCGTGGTTGAGCAGAGCCTGACCACTGAAAACAGCCTCCTTATGTTGAGCCAAGGATCTGCGTAAACAAAATCCTGCTTGTCAGTTACTCACGTTGGGCTCGAGACTTTGCTACGTGCCTTAGAAGCATTACCTTACTGAATCTGCCCAAGAACCCTCTGGATGGGGTTTCCCCGCAGAGGCCAGAGAGATGAAATAACCTGACCATCAGGTCCCATAGCTGGCGAGAGGGCAGAGCTAGAGTCAGAATGCAGGTGTGCTGGCTTCTGAGCCCAAGGTACATTCCAATGTATCAACTTCCTCGACTTCTCCTCCTAGAACCACAAACTGAACCCGACAGATCAAATGAAATGAGCCAGGAAGAGCTGGCCATCCTGCTTGTCAATGGCAAACATCAGTTGTCCAAACACAGGACTGCACAGCCTGACTGAGCAGCAGCAAAGACCCAGGGCTTTTTTTACTGTCTGCAAACTCCCCATGAGCCACAGGTGAAGCAGCAGCTTAAAAAAAACCAAAAAGTCAGCTGAAGTCGCATTACCAGAGATGTGAGAGCTAGGACAAGGGAGGTGATGGTGCCCAACCACACCTGTGCATCACTTTGGAAGAAATACTGCTGATCTGCGGCTTGTTGAGAAGATGACAACCAACACAGAGAAGACCCCAAAACCCCAGAGGGCCTAGAAGGTCTCTGCCTGACAGGTTCTGCCCTCCTACATCCTGCAT